GTTGAACAATTTAGTCACTTGCCTGAACAAAAAATTAATGATCAAGAGATTAATGATCAACCACTCCATGATGAAGTTAACAATGAACCCACAAATGATATTCCTACAGAAGTAGCATTAAGGAGATCTCAAAGACAAAGGAGATCTGCTATATCTGGTGATTATGTGGTTTATCTTCAAGAATCAGATTTTGACATTGGTATTGATGAAGATCCAGTTTCATTTTCGCATGATATAAATAGTCCTAATTCTTCTAAATGGGTCGAAGCCATGAAATATGAGTTAAAATCAATAATGGAACATAATGAAGTATGGGATCTTGTTGAATTGCCTAAAGGTTGTAAGCTAGTTGGCTGTAAATGGGTTTTTAAGACCAAACACGACTTAAATGGCAATATCGAACGATACAAGGCCAGACTTGTTGCCAAAGGTTTTACTCAAAAGGATGGTATTGATTTTAATGAAACATTTTCACCTGTTTCGAAGAAAGATTCATTTAGAATAATTATGGCGTTAGTAGCTCATTATGACTTAGAGAGCTACAACAGATGGATGTGAAAACCGCATTTCTGAATGGAAATTTGGAAGAAGAAATTTACATGAACCAACCTGAGGGTTTTTCAATTGAAGGAAAGGAACACATGGTGTGTAAACATAACAGATCGATATATGGACTTAGACAAGCTTCCCGACAATGGTATCTTAAGTTTAATGATACTGTAACGACCTTTGAATTTAAGGAAAACACTGTTGATCAGTGTATATATCTGAAGGTCAGTGGGAGCAAGTTTATATTTTTCATTCTGTATGTCGATGACATTTTGCTTGCTACTAATGATCTTGGTTTAATGCATGAGACCAAGCAATTTCTTTCTAAGCACTTTGAAATGAAAGATATGGGTGAGGCATCCTTTGTGATTGGAATTGAAATATTTCGTAATAGATCACAAGGAGTGTTAGGATTGTCTCGGAGAACATATATTAACAAAGTCTTAGAAAGATTTAGAATGGAAAAATGCTCTGCATCAGTTGCTCCAATTCAAAAGGGAGATAAGTTCAGCCTTATGCAATGCCCTAAGAATGAATTGGAGCGTAAGGAAATGGATAATATTCCTTATGCATCTGTCGTTGGGAGTTTGATGTATGCCCAAGCATGTACCCGACCAGACATTAGCTTTGCTATTGGGATGTTTGGTCATTATCAAAGTAATCCTGGTATGAATCACTGGAAGGCTGCAAAGAAGGTATTAAGGTACTTGCAAGGTACAAAGGAGCACATGCTTACTTATAAGCGATCTGATCACCTTGAGGTGATAGGATTCACAGATTCAGATTTTGCCGGGTGTTTGGACACAAGGAAGTCCACATTTGGTTATCTATTCCTTTTAGCCGAGGGGGCTATTTCTTGGAAAAGTGCGAAGCAGACTGTCATTGCTGCATCCACTATGGAAGCTGAGTTTGTGGCATGTTTTATGGCCACAAATCATGGATTATGGCTGCGAAATTTTATTTCAGGACTTGGAATTGTCTACAGTATTTCCAAGCCGCTGAAAATTTAATGTGATAATGCCGCAGCAGTCTTCTTTTCTAAAAACGACAAGTATACTAGTAGTGCTAAACATATTGATCTGAAGTATCTTGCCGTTAAAGAAGATGTTCGGGAACGAAGAGTATCTATTGAACACGTAAGCACTAGATTAATGATTGCAGACCCATTAACTAAAGCATTACCACCGAAGGCATTTCGTGAGCATGTTGAAAGAATGGGCGTTATTGGAAACTGTTAACGTTATGTTAAGGTTGTGTTTTGAAATATTTGATACTTGGAGCTCAATATAGTTTCGTTTTTGTATCAAAGTATCCTGTTTAGTTTATGAAGCATATATACATGAATGTTTTATGTTAATATAAACAGGATTTCTCTTTGACAAAGAAATTATCGTGGACCATTATGAAAAAGTTCATTATGAATCATATTGAGTTTGAAATTAATATTGTGATACATGGAAGAGACTGCGTTAAATTAGTGACGTATTACCGCCATGATTCTTATTAATTTCTAACTTAACGATGACTTATGTTCTGACCAATATAACGAAGGAATTAACTTATACTATGCATATTATGTTTCAAGTTCATTATTAAATTTATGACTTATGAGCCACGTGGGAGAATGTTAGAATAATTATTATTCTATGGTTCATTATGATTTATTGTGGCTCATAATTAAATATCTATTTATAATTTAATAATGAGATAATCCTATGATTGGTCAGTTAAGAAGATAAGATTGCAGTTTCAACTGCATATCATCAGGTTTACGTTGATGGAACGTATTATTATTTATATTCCATTCTGAGACTCTGGTCCTCTCCCTAGCCTCTCTAAAAACTGAAACTCTCTCCATCAAAGAATTAGATTAAGTGAATGTTAAAGGTCTGGAGGGAGAAATCAAGTTTCTAACTCAAGCAACTACGGGAAAACAATGGAGCCAAGTATGTTCCCAGAATGCTATTTAAATACAGTATGTGAAAGACATGTGTTCTGAAGATCTTATGTTTTAGGATTAACTTATAACCTAGACATCGGCACGTAACAGAACTACAATCAACTGTTCAGTCATCCCAGGAATGGAAGGAACTTTCACCAGCTCTCTTTCCCGAGGTGAACAAGGTTGGTTACCTTTGGAGCAGTGTTATTATCCTATGATGATGGAGCCTTTATTGCGGTCACCATCAACTGTCTAAATCCCTAAGGCTTAGCTGAAGCAGCAGGCTGTAAAAAAGCCTTATCTTGGCTTAGAGCTCCAAAAATCACTGCTGGAAATTATGGAATTTCCGACCACCTGAAAGTGATCTCAAATCAAGTCGAAAGCCTTGTTCCGACCACTTTTGGTATTCGGAAAAACCTTTGTTGCTATTTCCGACTTGATTTAAGATCACTTTCAGGTGGTCGGAAATTCCATAATTTTCAGCAGTGTATCAAAGACCTACACTCATTGCTTAAGTACTGTCAATGAACTACATCACCCTAGCTATCGCAAACAGGTCATTTTTAGCTTCCATTTTCCAATTCTGTACAACTCTCATGGAAAGTTTCCACACTATATCTGTCATTCACATCAATAGGTCAGCCAACCAGATTGCACACTCCTTAGCTAGGGTGACTACCAATCAAACTGCACTGGATCCCCATGATTGTATCATTCCTTTTTTACCTAGTTTATAGAATAATATCTTCTCCGGTATAGAATATATATATATATATATATATATATATATATATATATATATATATATATATATATATATAAGCTTGCATTTTGTGATATTATTTTTACAATAGTACGCAAATTATATCATGCACCGCGCATCAAAACGACATCGTTTTGTTTAATGAAAAGAAACAAAATCTTCGCAAAAAATAACTCTGTTCTTCAGTTTCATTTTGTATACACTGCAATTTCAGTTCAACACAACTACAGTTTCATTTCGATATAACTATAGTTTCATTAAATATTTATACACTCAAATATGCGAAAATGTTATTTAATTTTATTTTATATACAACTATAGTTTCATTAAAACACAACTACATGATCATTTCAATGTAATTACAGCTTCATTGTACAATATACACTCAAATATGTGAAATGTTATTCAATTTCATTTTATATATACTGTAGTTTCATTTCACCACAACTACAGTACAGTATCATTTTGATATAACTGCAGTTTCATTTGATAATATAAAAATAATACGTGAGACAGTGTTGGTTTAGATACACTGTAGTGTCACTCCATTATAACTGCAGAAACGGCGCCGTTTTGACGCGCGGTGCATAATCGATTATACACCACGGTGCACGATATAACGACTGACAATAGTATATATGGGCTTCGAAGTTGGGCCTAAATTGAGTTAAGCCAATCTAAAACCTGCAGTCCGACCTCTAGTTTAGGGCATATTATTGCATGGATCATGGTCCACACAATTGTATGGACCATGAATATTAGGTACATTTTTAATATATTAAAAGTACATTATTTTTGTACTGAAGGTACATTATATAAAATAATGTACCCTAAGTATATTAAAAATGTACTTTTTATTTATGGTCCATACAGGTCCATGCAATAATGATTGCTAGTTTATCTACCCAAAATTATGATGTGCAACCGTGTGCACCATGCATGGTGCACATGGAATTAGATTCATAATTTCTATACTATATATCCATAATTTCTATACTATAGAGTCATAATTATTGAACTCTATATTCACAATTACAAAACTCTATGTTCATAATTTTCAGTGTTCATAGTTTCAATGTTCATATTTCCAATTGTTGAACTCTGTATTCACAAATCACAGAACTATACGTTCATAATTTGATAACTATACAGTTTAGAAATTATGAATCTACAGTACAGAAATTATGAACCTACAGTACCGATATTATGAATCTGCAGTATAGAAATTATGAATTTATAGTATAGAAATTATGAATCCAATTTCGTATGCACCTTGCATGGTGCACACGGTTGCACAGTATAATGCTCCATTTTAATGGGCAAATTATGTTGTGCAACCGTGTGCACCATGCCTGGTGCACACAGTTGCAAAAACGGCGTCGAGGTAGTCTTGGGGATGGATTGTTTGGGCAGTTACAAGGCTCAGATCTTATGTAATGAATAAAAGGTGGTGTTGCGGAGTTTTAGCAGGAAGCGGGTATCATACAAGGGGACTACTAGTAGGCCAGATGTGCGATTAGTTTCTATGATCAAGATGGGGAGATATCTAGAGAAGGGTCACAAGACGTTCTTGTGCACTGTGGAAGACTTGAATGCTAAGAAGGAGGGGAATCAGCAGATCCCAGTTGTATGTGAGTTCCCAGACGTTTTTCCCGAGGAAATTCCCGGTATACCCCACCGAGGGAGGTGGAGTTCACCATTGACCTAATGCCTGGTACCGCGCCCATTTCAAAGACTCCATATTGAATGGTGCCGAAGGAAATGCAAGAGTTGAAAGAGCAGTTGCAAGATCTGTTGGATAAGGGCTACATTCGCCCTAGTGTGTCACCGTGGGGAGCTCCGGTACTTTTTGTAAAGAAAAAGGATAGTAGTATGCGGCTTTGCATCGATTATTGTAAACTGAATCAAGTGACCGTCAAGAACAAGTATCCCCTTCCTCGAATAGATGGCCTATTTGACCAATTGAGGGGAACAAGTACTTTCTCTAAGATAGATCTGAGGTCAGGATATTCGAATAGATGACCTATTTGACCAATTGAAGGGAGTAGGTACTTTCTCTAAGATAGATCTGAGGTTAGGATATCATCAACTGAAGGTGGCCGATAAGGACATACCGAAGACTGTTATCCGTACCAGGTATGGACACTATGAATTCACGGTCATGCCGTTCGGTTTTACAAATGCTCCGGCGGTGTTCATGGACTTAATGAACCATGTTTTCCGACCCTATCTCGATGAATTCGTGATAGTATTCATTGATGACATTTTGGTTTACTCTCGGGACCCTGTTGAGCATGAAAGCCATCTTAGGACTGTGCTACAGACTTTAAGGGAAAAGCAGTTGTATGCAAAGTTGTCCAAGTGCGACTTCTGGAAGGATAGCGTTGCATTCTTGGGGCATTTAATAGCCAAGGATGGAATCTCTGTGGACCCAGCTAAGATCTGAGCGGTAATGGATTGGCCCATGCCATCATCGGTTTCGGAGGTTCGGAGTTGTAACACCCCAAAATTTGACTTCTCAAACTTTCATTAAATGACATTACAATTCGAAACTTAATATAAATAGAATTACTAAAACTAAATTTTCTTATAAATTGTACTTCAATTCAAGTCTCAAATAATTCGTAATTCAAATTCTAACATTTATAGGGTGCTACTGCCACATCTAACCTATCAAGACTAGATGCAAGGCTCGTCACAAAACCGTCAAATACTTCATTTACATCTATTACATTTATTCTCTTCTTCTTCTAACGCGCTCTTTCACTTCAAGCTTCATAAATCCCTGTTCACTTTTATCTTTATCTTCACTTTTATCTTTAGTAAATCAATATTTAATGGGAGAATAATCTAGATTGTAACTCTCAATCTATAAATTGTAACTACTAATCAAAATCAAAATCAAATCAAAATAATTATAATTATATTATATATAAAATAATTTAGACTATACTTTATATACTATACTAGATAATTGTTACCCTGATAATATATATATATACATAAATATGTATACTACACGCCACATACACATATACTTCAAATATTCTATATATATATTATTTACATACAAAAATAATATATGTTACATACAAATAATATATGTAAATACGTTACACATACAATACATAATACATAAGTATATAAAACGCACATATATAATTTTACAATTCAAAATAATATAACACACTTGTTCTAAAATAATTAGTTTGTAGTTCAAAAATAATATATACATACTTATGTACAAAATAACAATTGTACACTTATTATTATTTTTATTTTTTTGTATTTATAACGACAATAATAGTAGAGATGAGATTTTCTAATGGCTCAATCAAAATGACTTGATCAGAAAGAAAGAAGTAATAATTGAGAAAAGGAAGAATTTTGAATTTTAGAGAGGCTAGAAAACCCGGGTGTCACAGGAGTTTTCTAGGATTGGCAGGTTACTAACAGAGATTTGTCCAAGATCTCTTAAAGATAGCCCAACATATGACTAATCTGATGAAGAAGGATACAACATTCAAGTGGGACGAGAATTGCGAGGCGGCATTTCAAGAACTAAAGGAAAGGCTGACTTCAGCTCCTGTCTTGGTCTTACCTTCTGGAACTGAGGGCTTCGAGGTGTACAGTGATGCTTCGAAGAAAGGTTTGCGCTGTGTTCTGATGCAGGATGGAAGAGTAATAACCTAGGTTCAAGGCAACTCAAGATTCATGAGGGAAATTATCCTACTCACGACTTGGAGCTAGCAGCAGTGGTTTTTGCTTTGAAGATTTAGAGGCACTATTTATATGGGGTTCAATGTAAGATCTACACTGACCATAAGCGCTTGAAGTACATCTTTACCCAAAAGGACTTGAATATGCGGCAAAGGCGTTGGGTGGAACTCATTAAGGACTACGACTTGGTCGTTCAATACCATGAGGGTAAAGCTAATGTTGTGGCCGACGCACTAAGTAGGAAACCAAAGAACTCACTCAAAGCCACATGGGTTGTAGACGACGAGATATGCAAGGATTTCCAAAGGCTAAATCTCGAGGTAAAGGATCAAGGGCAAGTAGATGTAGAGATCCGGCTTTACAGCATGAGGATCATGCCATCTATCTATGATGAAATTAGGAAAGAGCAATTGGAGGACACAGAATTAATCAAGATAAGAGCTAAGGTGATCAATGGTGAGTGTGGACATTTCGAGTTAGCCGAATATGGTAGTTTACACTATAAGGGTCGTTGGTGTATACCCAAGTCATGTACTCAAGTAAAAAGGCAAATACTGGAAGAAGGGCATAATGCTCCATATTCTGTCCATCCTGGAGGTGATAAATTGTACAAGGACATAAAGAAGCAATTTTGGTGGCCAAACATGAAGAAGGAAGTGGCAGAGTTTGTGAGCAAGTGTTTGAACTGTCAGAAAGTTAAAGCGGAAAGGTGCAAGCCTAAAGGACTGGTTCAATTGTTGGAAATACCGAATGGGAAGTGGGATTCAATAAAAATGGACTTCGTGGAAGGTCAACCCTCGACCAAGATTGGAAAGGACAAGATATGGGTTATTGTGGACCGGCTCACTAAAACAACGAGGTTCATTGCAATGGAAGAAACTTGGACCATGAATCAATTGGCAAAGGCTTATGTGAGCCAAGTGGTTAAATATCATGGCATACCTCTTGAAATCGTATTGGATAGAGACTCCAAGTTCCTATCCCAGTTTTGGAAGGCCTTGCAATCAGCTTTAGGAACCAAGCTCAAATTAAGTATCTCTTTTCATCCAGCCACCGATGGTCAGACAGAGAGGATGATACAGACCCTAGAGGATATGCTAAGGGCGTGTGTAATGGATTTTCAAGGTTCTTGGGATGACCATCTGGACTTGATCGAGTTCTCCTACAACAACAACTATCATGCGAGCATTCGGATGGCACCCTATGAAGCATTGTACGGACAAAAGTGTAGAAGCCCCTTGTATTGGGAAGACTTAGTAAATCCGGTAACCTTGGGGCCGCAGTACTTGCAAGAGACAATGGAGAAGGTTAAGGTAATCCAAGAAAGGATGAAAGTCGCCCAAGACTGTCAGAGATCATACGCCGATTTGGGGAGGAAGTTCACGGAATTCCTCGAAGGAGAGAAGGTAAACACCTACCTTACGAGCACAATAGCTCAAAAGTTTAAAGTTTTTGGACTAATTAAAATGAAAATTCTAGGTGTTACTGAGAATCTCAACCACGAGAGGCGTGATGAGGTTCCGAAAGAATGGCAAGTTAAGCCCTAGGTTCATTGGCCCCTACGAGATCTTAGAGAGGATAGGGAGCATGGCCTATTGCTTAGCTCTACCGATAGAGTTGGACCGTGTACACTACGTGTTTCACGTGTCCTAGCTAAAGAAGGAAGTATGTTCATGACGCATCTCACGTTATTCAACCAGAGGTGAATACTTACCCTAAGCGTAGCATCCCAGTTGAGAATGAGGCTAGCGTAGCATCCCAGTTGAGAATGAGGCTTTGGCTAAGTTTGTAAAATATCCTTTTTTTTTTTGAAAGTTACTGGCTCTATTACATTGTAGTATCTGTTCATATACTTTCTCAACCTACTAAAACACAAAGAACCATTAACGCCTCCACTGAGGCTTGAACTCATAATCTTCCAAATGGAAGTCCAACCCGGATACCATTAAACCACATAGTCCTGGTTTGTAAAATATCCTAATACTAGTAGTTTGTAATTATTATTGTAAGGGATTAATTATTTATTCCTAATAGCCCAATTCCTTCAATTAAATAATCTTTGATATATGTATGTATATACATTTATTTGAGAAGCCCAAATCCTAGAAGGATTTTATAAATGCCTAACATTCCTAAACCCAATTGCTCTTGGACCATAATAAATTATTTCTACTAAGAGTATAATATAGTTGGCCCAAAAATTCATAAGATTGAACCTTATGCTACATATAATATAAAGAGCCCAAATCCCTATTCTTACTCTTGGATTCCATGTTGATGTTGATAGTGTCTTAGCTTGTTCTTGGTGGTTTTTTGCTTCAGTTTAATTCCTTGTGTGTTGCTGATGAGTTGAGATTGCTCCTGAGTGTTCTTTTGAGAAAGGTCACTGTTTTGGCCATTTCCTTTGTGCTTGTGGGTGGAACTCACGGGTGGTTGGTGCCCGTGAGCCCAACCCGCAAGAAGGGAGCAGGAGGTGGTGGCGGGTAGCTAGTGCCCGCCATGCACTCCCGTGCTTGTAACTCAGAGAGAGGGCAGGTACTTGGCACCCGTCACCCTCTCCCATGAATTGTTGAGAGTTGGCTTCCAAAAAGCGATTTTCTCTTCGTGCATTGCTGGTTTTTCTTTGGTGCATTGTTGAGTATTTTGGTTCATTGTATTCCCTTTTGACTTCTTTGTGGATCGCTATTTCACCTTGAATCTTAGCCTTGATTCCTGTTTGATTGTGAGTCATATGTGGTTATATATATAAAACTTTGATTGAGTATATATTGTATTATTGATATTGGAAGAATTGAGCTTAGGCTCCATTTGAGATTGGCGGAAATGAGCTTCGGCTCCATTTGAGATTGGCGGAAATGAGCTTCGGCTCCATTTGAGATTGGCAGAATTGAGCTTCGGCTCCACTTGAGATTGCCGGAATGAGCTTAGGCTCTTTGGTGGATACGGTTGGACTGGTGTACAGGGTGGTCTTCTGGTGTACAGGTTGGACTGGAGTAAAGGTTGGATATTGTATAAATATTGAATTTGATACTTGATATATGTATCCCTTGATTTTATATATATATATATATATATATATATATATATATATATATATATATATATATATATATATATATATAAACCACTATGCTTGTTGTTGTGTTTGACTCTTGAAAACCTTATTGTTAAGTACTTGGTTATTCCCCTTTGTGGACTTATACACTTGAGTCAGGTTGAATTGTTACCCCGTTGTTGGTCATTGATCTAAGTTGAGTCTAAGTGAATTCTTGTTGGCTTTCCCCTTGACCTGTAATTGTTGAGTATTCTATTGATTGAGTCTTATCTTGTGAACTGGGTATTATTGAGTTGGAATCCTATCTTGAAGTCCTCTTTGGAATTGTCTTGGACTTGCGTGCTCGAATTGTTGTATCTATGCTTTGAAAACTGTTATTGAGTTGGTTTGTTGGAATATATTCTATATGTCGAGTAGACTAATATCTCTATTAGCTTGTTATGTTTTTGCCCAGACTTTAGCCTGTGAGCCCTTGATGATGTAATAAATAGATATTAACTAGTTTATTTTGGGATTATGCCTTTTGACTTGACAGTTGTAGTTAGCATTTAGGTAGTTTGGCCCATATGTGGCGTAGCACCCTCGTAAGAATTTGGTTTAAGCTTCCGCAACGTTTTGTTTATAATTACTGTTTTACTTAGTTGTTTTGCCTCAGTTTACTTGTTTAAAAA